TTTTAATTTGTTCTTACGTGGTTTTCCAGATGTAGTGACGACAACATTAAAGTTTAAAGAAGAAAATTCTAACATTTAAACCGACTAAACAATAACATAGTAAACTTGCATAATTAAACAGCAACTAAAAATGATAGGTTTTACTAAATCTTTTTCTGTGCAATTATTACTAGCATTGGAGACAAGGATATTAGTTTGTTTGAAAGAGAAAAGAACAGGCTTTGAAGTAAGCCTAAAAGCGTTTAACTAGAAATAGTATTTCGAAAGTTATTAAGCATAAAAGATGAATTGCGTTTATTTTGATACACCCTGTAGTTTTATAATTTTAAAAGTGTAAAGCTTAAGGTGGCTCGATACAGTTTTAAAAAATTCGGGTGTTTAACACTTTAAATTGACATGTTCAAACTACGCATTTTTAGGATTTATTCAGCAGATATTGTTTTTTTTATATATTTTGATATTTCTACTTTCAAATTATATTAGTTTTAGTAACAGATAGTTCGTTGCTATGACGACATACGTGTACGAAATTCACTCCAACATGGCCTATCGTCTCGTATAGTTGGAAAAAAAGCATGGTGACCCTCAATTTTTATTCGTGCATTATTTTACTTGGATGAAAAGCTAACAATTAGCGAAATATAAAAAAAATCTGTAATGCCATTTTTTTGGAAAATGCGAAAATGTCATCTGTAATGCCAAATTTTTTTTGGCATTACAGAATTTTTTATTTTTTGTATAATGAAAGTTTAGCGGTGCAATACAGCATGCAAAATTTGGACATAGGTCACCAGACAAAATAAAGAGATATAGCGCATTGTTTTTCTAAAATGGAAAATTCTAATGACGTCAGCAATTGACATAAAACGCTATAGAACACTCGCAATGACGTGATATGGCGCGAGCAGTTAACTGCTCACGTCAGGTAATTTTGGAAGTTCTTTCATTTTGTTAATCAGTTTCTGCGACTTGCATGCGCGTAAAAATGGTCACCCGGTTTTGAGTTCGCGATTCTTGAGCAGGGTTTTTGTAATAACTATATCGAGCCACCTTAAGGCTGTTTCTTGTCACGTCCCCGTACTAGATTAAGCCTTGCATGCTTAAGTTCGCTACTACTAAACTATGCAGCGCCAGTGTATAAAAAGTTGCTGCCAGAGAATAGGTTTTTCAATCAATATTGAAAATTATATATAGACCCCGTTTACACGGTACCGGACGAATTTGGGACCGGTCTGAAATTCGTCCGTTTCGGCCGTGTAAACACAAGAGAACTACGGAACCGGACGAATTTGACGAATTCGCGAATTTGTAAACACGAAATTGTAAACAGGCGAAAAATGACGAATTTCAGACCGGTACCAAATTCGTATATCATGTAAACGGGGTCTTAAAGTGTCGTTATCATATGAATTGCAAAATTATATGTCGAACAAAGTACGTGCGAAACAATAGTAACAATTTTGCATGAATGGGATTGTGGTTTCAAGCATAGAGCGAAATTATGTACAGTTAGTCTTACAGTTAGTTTTTAACTTGAGATTTTGGCACACAAAAGATCAATCGTATAATAATATATACGGCCATGCAAACGCACTCATGCTGTATATGTAAAGACCTCTTTCTCAGTGTCAATATGTTCACTAAATCTGCATTATCTTGCATTATTAATTTATATAGAATGATTTATATTAGATATGATACTTGGAATTAACTAATGTTGTTTAATTTCATTTTAACAACAAATATTTAGATCTCTAAATTAGAGAATTAGAACGCTTACGTCATAAGGATAGTAGCCAACATATCCATAATAATTCAATCTTGACGACTCCAGCATGTGAAACTGAATCCAATTACGAACCGACAGTTTATATGGATTGTTGACAATCTCGCCCACAAAAACCTTTTGAAACGCAGATGGGTTTGCTGTGGTAATGTTCCCATTATTGAACCAAAGATCAAATAGAGATTCTTTAAATTGTGCCTGCGTGAAAGAGAAAAAATGAGCAAAAGCGGTCAAAATAATTTGAAAATACAGATGAAATGGTGAAAAAAAGGATTGCCAGAGCAAGTAAAAATATGGTAAAACATGCATGTAGGAGATCTTTCATTAAAAATTTAAAGAGAAAGTTGTAAATGTAATTTTGGTTTCGTTATTCAAATGCTAAGGAAACACTACAGTCGATTGTGTAATAGTACTGGTAAAAATTAATATATAAAAACTTGTAAAAAATAAGTTTTGCAAGTTGGCCACGTATCTTTCTTCAAATTTGAGGACTTATTCCTATTTAATATGACATTTAACAATTATTCGCCGAAGGCGAGGTGATTATCGGGGAATATTCGCCGAGACAAAGTCGAGGTGAATATTCCCCGATAATCACCGAGCCTGAGGTATTTTAACAAGTATTTTTACGCAAGCTTTTGTGTTTTTTGAGACTGAATTTATTTTAATTTTCCTTTATTTTAGTTCACCTGTAGGTGAATATAACAGCTTATTACGTCAAATTTGACCAATCAACGTGTATAGGATTTGTTATGTTCATGCACTTATGCAAAAATACTAAATAACATTATTAATTCAGAATTATACCTGTTGTGAACTAATCAGATCTACTTAGCATGCAGCCTCTTTCGCGTTACTATAGGAAGAATATTACACCAAATATTGGTTGATGCAGTAATTAAACATATTCACCCATGCATTATATTAAATAGATTCTGTCCGTACATTACTCAATTATATTTCTGTAGGATTACTTAAATCAATAGAGAAGATCAGATTTTGACTTCCCCTACCGCTAACATTAACCAATTATATGCATTTAATCGATCCGATTAACCAATCAAATGCGTATTAAACCACCCCCGGTATTTTGACTAAAAAAACGTGAGTTAAATAATGCATGCACGCATAAAAAATGTACTCTGTTTTTTTAGTCCTGGAAACTTTACTAAAAAAATGTGGAGTAGATTTGCTTATATATAAAATTAATTGAATCACTAGAAGTGCACTATTTCACTCCAATTTTAGAATTAAATTTCAGGGAGTTTTTGTAGTAATATATAACTTCACTCCTCAGGAGTTTTCCCACGAGAAATGTTCCATACTCTAGAGAGCTTACCTTGCCAGGTACAACAAAACTGTTTCGAACTAGATACCAATATAATTCCTGAAAAACACGTGTTTTCGTTACAGTAGATAAAAACTTGTTAATATTTTCCACAATTGTGTCTATTTCACCGTTCTGCGAGGTTGCACTGTCGCTGGAAGGATCGAAGTTATTTAAGAGATCTATAACAAAATTAAAAGAAACAACGTCAGCAAATAAATTTCTTTTTATATATGACTGTGATGTATCAAAATTATTTGTTGGGCTCGTTTATTCATTTTTAAAAGAATTCATTGTCTCGCTGAATTAACAAATGGATTTTTTAATATTTCAAGCTAAATCACCAGGAGCCGATTGCTCAAAGCTTGATTAGCGCCAGCCCTGTGTCAAAAATTAACTGAGATGCTGATTTGGTTTGTCTATTTCAAAAGTTTGGGAAATAGAACGTCTATTCATCGTGATAAATTTGTGGAAAATATTTCGATGTTAATGAAGAACCTGCTGGGAAGATTGATTTAAATCTTTTCGTTGAGCAAACCGATACAGATATTTCACAGCACACTCCCTATCAGGACTTTTCAGTGACTGGTTACATTATGAATAGATAGATAGAACCGGACTGACGTCAAGCAGACCGAGGTAGACTTTGAGCAAAAAAACTGCTTTTAAATAATCAGCTCTTGTCCTCAAAAACAAAACAAAAACCTAATGAAACACAAAAACAATGAAGAATTGATATCATCAATACATAGTGGCATGCAATGTGACAGGCTGTCCTGCTGCCAATGCCAGAAGCTCATTAATCATGTATAGGCAGCATTTCTTTACCAATAAATGCTTTATAAGTTGGCTTTGCTTGAATTTTTGCCATATTGACATAGCGAAACAATTGCCTATAGGATTTATCCACACTAGAGTTCTTTAAAATTTTCGTTTGTAAGAAAATTTCATAATCTACTTGGTGCTGTATCCTGTTGTGATCCACTCCCCAAAGCCGCTGACATATTGTATCGTGGTCGCTGATTTTACCCCAGCGTCCATGCTGCCAATACCAGTAATAGCTATAAAATAAAAATTCAGTAATGCCTATAAGCGAAGCATACAACTGTAATGTTTTAACTGTGTATTTGCAGATAAATTTAGGGCAACTTATGGATAATGCGGGTGAAATGTGTATTGCGATTACGCATTCGCTGGCCAACAGTTCAGGATAGGTCAATCTCAGATCCGATGTGGCATTGCACAATCACAATGCTTATTGCTTAGCCTACGTAGTTCACATATCTTTGTGGTTTGACTTTCCTAAATCTTTAAAAGGTTAGGGTAGGGCCGAGTGGCTGCTAAGATGTAACCTGTAAAACATCTAAGACTATTAAACAAGGCCAGGAATTGAGAAAAATGCCTTCGGTAAAACACTGTTGGACGTTTCCTCGTGTTTTATAGTTATGCCAACTTGCCTCGGCTAAGCAAATTGTGTTAGATTATATATTATGTAGAAATATACTATAAACTGTTACAGTATTAGAGTAATTGTAAAAAAAGGCTGAGGATTAGAGGAGGTATGATTTTCTGGTTACTCTAATTATTGCCATCCCTTTTTAGACGATTGGCCAAATCCATGTCCTTTTCTGGGTATTAACCGATATACGTTAGAAACGGGAATATGATGAATTGGTTTAATATTTTATTCCCTTATGGCCTGCGCACACTATGACGACCATATAGACTATAGTCGTATAGATCATGGACATGGATAGATAGATGGTTTATTAAAATTACAACCTTGGTAATACAGGCTTAAAGCTGAACTGAAAATGTTTTGCATATACATTTATAAAGTCAGAATATTAAAATATTAACATAATTTACAACTATTAATATTGAAAATTTAAAAAAGGGCTTAATTGAGAAGTATGCCGTGGTCATTGTACCGCTTGGCGGCTGCCATTGTTCATTAGGAAGGAGCACTTGAGCCGGTCCGTTTTGAATAAATTCGTTACTTGTTATCAGGAATTGCGGACACTGTGCCTCGCAAATTATATTTTATTTGACAAATTTCATTTGCTCAAAAGCTAGCTTTCTAGCTTTTGTTCCAATGCATTTGTCCCAAATGATCAATACATTTGTCACAAATTTATCATCTACCCGAGCAAAATATCTCTGACATATGAAATTTGTCAAATAAAATTTGCTCGTGTAAACGGCGCTTTACTGTTGATACCTGAGCTACAGTCGCGTTGAAAATGAAATCTGTCAATAAATCAACATAATAATTCATCACTTACTACCAATTAAACCAACTCCATCCACGTTTCAGTAATCCCCAGTCTTCATGCGATGAACACTCCGCAATTGTGCAGCCAGAGACGAAGAGCAGACAAAGTACAAGCGAAAGTTTTGCCATGTTCAAGCACTCGAATACAATGTTTACTAATGACGCTGAGATAAACCGATGCTTGCGCAGTGGAGGGCGCGATTTAATCATAAACACGTGCCAAATGTAGATTTTTGAAATTTTTCCCGCAGTTAAGGTGGTTCTACGATGTTTAAATTAGATGACCGTACGTGCTACAAGAAAATAAAATACTATTCAAAATTAGGAAATGTTTGATAATTTGGTGTTCTAAGCCAAGTTATGAAGTTGGGAGAACATCTAAAATTGTAGCCTGTTCGCAACACGAAATTTCGTTCAAAACCGAGGTATTGAGGCTCTGTGTATAATTATGTAATTAAAGCCCCGTTTACACTACGCTCAATTTTTGGTACGGCACAGATAAAATTGGTACCCGTACCACTTTTTTGGTTCTTGGACTACCTATTTAGCTAAGCCCGGTTTACACTACGCTCAATTTTCGGTACTGTACCACTTTTTGTTTCTTGGACTACCTAAATAGGTAGTCCAAGAACCAAAAAAGTGGTACGGGTACCAATTATATTCATGTCGTACTAAAAATTGAGCGTAGTGTAAACGGGGCTTAAATAGCTTATCCTAATGAGTATGTATTCATTATAGGCCTACGGTCTTACAGGCCAGGTGTCCGAGGAAAGCTGCCGCATGGCATTAATTTCGAAAGAAATGGCGCTTCTATATTGCACGCTGAAGCGACTATCGGTGCGTGGATCGATGTGTGATGAAATAACTGGGAACGAGACTGCTGCACGTTAGCACTTTTTTCCATCCAGCAAACCGATTTTCTAAAGTCGTTTTTTTCCGGATTTTTTTATTAATTCGGTTAGGATTAGAGTCACGTTTGCGGTTAGGGTTAAGGGTTAGAGTAGGGGTTGGGTTTGGGTTAGTTATATAGCCATTTAACACCTCTTCTATCTTCCGAAAATGACGTCAGGTCAGTTTGCTGGATGGAAAATAGTGCTAACCTCGTGACGCTGTCTTGTGGTAAAATATAAATATGGCGGAAAAGTCAATACGACAGAATTGAAAGTTGTGCAGTAAGAGTAAAGCCTTGATCAAACGAAGAGTTTATGTGAGCTGGCAGTCATGAATTAGTACAGACACATTTCAATCTCTAGGTCAATAACAAAATAACAGTTTGATGAGTGTTCCAACTACGTTTTAACTTAAAATAGATGAGAATGTTAGGAAAGATTAGCAACAGCTAACCTTAAGATCGCGTGACTGCCAACTCTCATGGATGTACACTCATTCTCGTTTAATCCGAAATTTCCGAGGTTTCTTTGTTGGATAAACCTTAGAGTTAGGATATTTAATTAAATTCGCTGCGAAGACAATGATGGTAAGGATAGTTTGTGGCACTATATAAAGCTTGGTGTCTGTGTCAGGGCATTTTTTAAGAATTCGTCAGTGGGGGGGGGGG